CACCTGGGCGCAGGAAGTGCACGGCTATCAGAAGCGCCTAGACGCAGGAAGTGCCTGGCTTTCGGGACGTCCTAGGCGCAGGAAGTGCCCAGGTATCGGGGAGTGCCCAGGCCAGGGAGCGCCTGGGCGCTGGAAGGGCCTGGCTATCAGGGAGCGCCTGGACGCAGGAAGCGCACGGCTATCAGGAGCACCTGGGCGCAGGAAGCGCACGGCTATCAGGAGCACCTGGGCGCAGGAAGCGCACGGCTATCAGGAGCACCTGGGCGCAGGAAGCGCACGGCTATCAGGAGCACTTGGGCGCAGGAAGTGCACGGCTATCAGGAGCGCCTAGATGCAGGAAGTGCACGGCTATCGGGAGCGCCTGGGCGCAGGGAGTGACCAGCTATCGGGGAGCGCCTGGGCAGACAAAAGGTGCGTCTTTTAGGTTCCCTCTTGGGTACGATGAACCTTTCTAGATGTTTGATAGTAAATCTTTGTTTTTAGCGTTCAGGCCCATTTATTGGCTTCCACATGTGAAGTGGGCACTGTAGGGATTTTAGGGGGCGATGCTGCTGATTTAGGAAGCCCGATATTCTTCGCCAACTGTCATGGAAGCAAAAAGTAAAGATTCGGTACAGATGATGAACACACCGTACGTATATAAATGTCGTTCTGTCCGTCCTCCTTCCATTGTACGTCTCCTTTATTCCGGAGCATTGCGGGCAGAATCCAGGTCGCACCTGCTCCCCTCTTACTCCGGAGTACTCCTTAATGGATGGCGTCATTCTTTGTTGCCATGACGACGAGCCTCGGCCCTCCAGAGAGCAGCTGACGAGCTATTAGAACGTCCTCGTCTCACTCAATGAGGACAAAGTAGATACCTGAGCTGTCCCCGGGGAGGGACCCGCCGCAGCATCGCGTATTATCTGCTTTTCCTAACTGCTAATTGTTTTGTTAATTGTGAAGAGACGGCGACGGGCGTCTATTGCCCGGCAGGGGCCCCAAAATGTATCTAAACCAAAGAACAAAAATGACATACATTGTAACTTTATCGTAGCATTCGTTTTATTCCTGTCATCCGGTGATCCTGCCAGTGACACACTTCCTGTCCGAGGGGGATCGCGCTCAGTCGCCGTATTGTATCTATGGAGGAGCAGTGTTGTCACTCTAAGACAGGGGTCTGTGGTTCAGAAATCTGTTCCAGTGCGCACTGCCTGTGCCGATCGAATTTCTGGAAGGATCAGCAGGCATTTTTGCACTTATATCAGAAATATCCAAACACTCCAAGTTTTCTAGTTTACAGAACAAAAGGGAGCCAATCGAAGTCAATTCTTTGGCTTTACAAGGAAATTGACTTGGATTTGGTTGCTGTGTGTCACACAGGCAGTTTCTGTTTCAGACATTCTCGTATATAGAGGTCTACTCTTTTAGCTATCCCTGCATGCTCGTCGCCCCCTATCCCTGCATGCTCGTCGCCCCCTATCCCTGCTCCTGCCGTAAAAGAAAGACGGGCTGCCCGGAAGAGCGGACTCTGGTGCCGCGATTTTGGCGCCGGTTTTCTTTTGTCGCAATAAGTTTACCCTTCGGAGCAGTGGATCCCGGCACAACAGGATGAGTATGCTAACATAGCCCATCGCTGTAACCATAGCCTACACCATCTGCTCCCTATACTTTCTCCGTTTTTGTTGCCCCGATGACCGTCCCTGTACCACTGTTACCCACCCACAGTTGTATATTTTGTGGCATGCCTCTGCCCCATGTGACAGAGTTTGGGTCTGGCGATTGGTCAGCAAGGCCTCATATAGTGTGGGAAGGCAGGCAGGGTGTCACACGTTCCTGATACTTGGAATTATCAGGATTTTTGCACAGATGGTTAGGCACTCGAGGTTGGGGGAGGGTTTGCATTTTTGCATTCTAGATAAATAAAAATTTGGGGGGGGGGTGGGTTGCTAAAGCCCAACTCCAGTTGCCCAGCAGTTCTTAAAACAAAAAAAGCAGCTAGCTTTCTATACTGGCTTCCTCTCTGGTGCTGTTCCCCATGGACTCGCTGCTTAAAGGTCTAGTGTCAATCCTTTTCTGTATTAAATTACACCCGGCACCATTAGGGTCTTTTTCTGTGAGCTCAAGGTGGCTTGATGATGTACCCCAGCCGGTGGGTCCTTGAGGTCCAGGGATCACAGGAGAACGCTGCAGAGAACAGCACCACGTCATTATGTGGCACCATCCTGTGCAGCATTTAGGACTGCTCACTGCTAAGGAAGGAAGGGCATTAGTGGTGTCACATGTGGTGCCACACCAAACACCAATGGAAAATAGGTATAAATCATCAGAAATTGTTTTAGTAAGTGGGGGCGGCCCGAGTTTTAGTGTTTTAGGTCGGAGTTACTGAAATGGTTATTGTTAAGGTTGCTGCTAGTTGGAGGGTTTGGGGTTCACCTTGCATCTTTGCAGAAGGGTGAGTGTTTAGGTACCAGCTAATGAGAGGGTAAGGGACTAAGCTCAGGCAGTCAGGAGGGTTAGTGTTTTGGGCCACAGGAAAGGTAAGCTCTTGGGTTTAGACAAAAGGGAGCTCTAGCTTTACAGTTGCAGTCAGCAGGAGAGGGTTGGCGCTAAGGTTGCGCCTGGTGGGAGGGTTGTCGCTAAGGTTGTGGTCGGCGGAAGGGTTAGCAATAAGGTTGCGGGAGGGTGAGCGCTAAGGTTGTGGCCGGATGGGAGGGTTGTCGCTAAGGTTGGTGCCGGTGGGAGGGTTGGCGCAAAGGTTGCGGGAGGGTTGGCGCTAAGGTTGCGGGCGGCGGAAGGGTTAGCAATAGGCTTGCGGGAGGGTTAGCAGGAGGGCAGGCGCTAAGGTTGCGGCCATCGGGAGGGCTGCCCCTAAGGTTGCGTCTTATAGAAGGGCTCGTATAAAGGCAGGTATGGACAAATTTCAATGAGCCAGCTTCATTGAAAACAACTAGAGGAAACCTGAAAAGTTAGGTGCCAACTCTCATTTTTAAGGAGCATTGGCGACCTGGCCCCCGGGAGGACTAGCATAGCTAGTGTTTTAAGGTCGCCAGGGATGGGCAAGCCTTAATGTTTGGGCCACCAGGCGGGTTGGTGTAGACAATCACTCTTGAGCGGTGGGAACCAATATCTGCCCCTCTCCAAGCTCCTGCTGTTGAAAGGCTTGTTTAGGTGGGGCTGACATTTCTGACCACCTGATTTACCTGTCTGTCATGCTTGCCACTGGCCTCATTATATTTTGAAACACTGACCTGGAACAAGTAGGCCGACCAGAAAAGTCTGCCCAGAGTCAGAACTTCTTATCTGCATACATGTTCCATCTTGGTGACTCCCAACATTTTGATGCCAGAAGGTTGGCTAGACAGCTGAAAAGTCGCATTTTCAGAGCTTGCTATTGCACTTCCTTCATACAGGTTCTTTAATTTCCCTCTATGAACAGATGATTAAGGAACTTGGTGGGTTGTGGAAGTACTTCTCGCTTGTGTGTTCTACTCCTCGCATGGATGAACTGCATTTCCAAGCAAAGTCCACTTTCAGGACCTCTGGCCATGTGTATCCAACGTTCAGAAGGAAGCTGGGAAGTCCTAAAAGTGGACTTGAAGCCAGTACTTCAGGACCACACAGTTGAGTTATTATATTGCACACATCACCCTTGTGGCATTTGTGTATTGGGAAGTGATGGTATCATTACAACTGATGCATTATCCAGGTAGGGCAGGAAAAGACCTCCTACTAAGAATGTTCTTCATTGTACTGGAGGGATCTGCAAACTCTGCTTCAGGTTTGACCTGCATTTGTTTTCTAATCATTGTACGATGCTCGCGTCTCACTTTGTGTTCTTCCATTTAATCTTATTTCACATGATGGTGGCGCCTAACATTCGGCTATCTCGCAGTTAGAGCCGAGCGTTAATGGAAGTTATTTTACGTTTGTCTGGCTGATGGGAAGAGCACTGCTTGTGTCATGTTCATAGATTTGTTCTTCCAGGGGCTCTGCCAGGACCATGGTGATGCCAGGTGGCCACATATACAGCATTAACATCTCCTGCTACTGATATTGATCTTGTAGAATAACGTGTTATTATCTCCTTGTAATTGTTTCTTTTTTCTTTTTTCCCTACATGTGTCTTACACAATACAACAGAGAAGAAGAAAATGAGGTAAGAATATAAACTCCAGTTATACTACCATACCTGCAGGAGCTTTTTACTAAAAATGTGTATTTATTTGAGCGAGAGACTGGCAGGAGGTTGTAGGTCGGTGATCATTAGTAGGGAAGGGGGCATGCCGTTGGTTAGTCGCGGTGAAGGGGAACATCATTGTTCCTTTATGGTGAAGGGGTATGTCGCAAGTCACTGCTGGGGAGGGGGGGGTACGTTGTTGTGGAAGGTGTGCTTTTGTGTTCAGAGGGTAGATTGGTGTGCTGCACTGATGGGGAGCAGAGTAGATTGGTGTGTACTGGTGGAGAGAGGGAAAATCGGTGTGCTAAACTGGTGGGTAGGTGGGTTTGCACGGGTGGGGAGGGGTTAGGTGGGTAACCACTGATGAGGAAAGGTTAGGTGGGTGTGCACTGGTGGTGGGGAAGGGAGTACTGGTGGAGAGAGGGAAAATCTGTGTGCTAAACTGGTGGTAGGTGGATGAGCACTGGTCAGGAAAGGTTAGGTGGGAGAGCACTAGTGTAGAAAGGTTAGGTGGATGAGCACTGGTAGAGAAGGGGTAAGTGGGTGAGCACTGGTGGGGAAGGGATAGGTGGGTGAGCACTGGTGGGGAAGGGATAGGTGGGAGAGCACTGGTGGGGAAGGGATAGGTGGGTGTGCGCTGGTGGGGAAGGGTTAGGTGGGTGTGCACTGGTGAGGAGGGGTTAGGTGGGTGTGCACTGCTGGCGGGGAAGGGGTAGGTGGGTGTGCACGGTCTTGCACTTCATTCACTTCAACCTCAGGATATGAGATAAACTTAGAATAATCACGGTGCATGTAATGTTACCCCAGAGACCCAATTTCACCTCCCTTGTTTCTTTGTATCATGACTGGCTGCATGTGCCAGTATGTGCAGTCATGGGAAGATGTCGGGAAATGTAAAATAGTAAGCATTAAAGCTCAACTCCCGGCAGTTATAAAATGGGAATGTTTATAATTTTCCTGCACATTTCCTTATTAAGAATTAATCAGAATCCACAAAACTTGTTTTTCCTTCCAGGCCAAGAATGAGGGCGCCTCAACACCTGGAATCGGCAAGTCGGCAGCTACCTTCAAAAGCATCTCATCCAGCAGATTCCTGCCGAAGGGAACCAAAGCAAAGGTTAATTTGGAGGAACAGGGACGCCAGAAGGTCTCGTTCAGCTTCAGTTTCACTAAGAAGACCCTTCAGAACAGATTGCTCACTGCTTTGACTGTAGAGAAGCAGAATGACGTGCAGAATGCGGCCGGCGGTTTATCAGAACAAAATAAGCCGAAGACTGAGGGCGCTGAACCCAGCGTGAACGCTTTTGAAATTTCCCCTCCGAAACCGAAAGTGGAACTGGGAAAAATCCATTTTAAGAAGCATCATCTTGGCGTTACAAGCAAACTACCAGCACCCCCACCTCCACCCCCACCACCTGCTGCAATTCCGGTTGCAGTGCCTATGTCACCCATACTTTCAACACAAGGAGCGCCACCTGATCATTCAAAGTTTTCTCCATTGTCCGAAGTTGTATCACCAGCTACCATCCTGGCTGTTGAATCGCCTGAAAAAGCACCATCCAGTACTCTGTCTTCATTATCGTTGACTAGCACAAAGGACAATCGAGAGGACTCCGCGGTCTCTGTTGCGGAAAGCTTAAGCACTCAGGTGGTTGACGAAAAGGCAGAGCCCATCCCTTCGAAAGATTATTCCCATATTGGGAAAGGCGAAAAGATTTCAGTCAGTGTACAAATCGTTAAACCAAATCCCAGCCCTGAAAAGCCCAGCTCTAAATTAAAGCCGCCTCATTCTGAGACGGCGGTGGTTGGTTCAGAGTCCGACGGAGATTCTGTACAAACCTCCTCCAGCCACCGATCACACGAGGTCAAAAAGGCAGCAAGTAAAGAAAGAGACCCAAAAAGGACCTCGGTGAGTTTGAGAAGGGACGACGGCGGAAAATATTCTTCATCGAGAACAAAGTCTGTGAAAGAAGAGAAAGATGAGAAACATTCAAGCTATTCCAGGTCCGACAGAGATTCAAAGTACTCTTCCTACTCGCGTTCTAAGTCAGATCGTGACAGGAAGCGAAGCAGGTCGCGGTCAAGATCGAGGTCGATCTCTAGATCTGATCGAGGACCAAGAGGCAGTTCTTCGTATTCCAGATCTGAACGGTCACATTATTATGAGCCCGATAGACGGTACCATAGAAGTTCCCCCTACAGAACAAGATATTCTCGCTCGTATGCCGACAGCAGGGCAAGAGACAGCTCCGACTCGGAGGATGACTACAGGAGAACTCATTCCAGATCGAGCGACCCTCGAAGGCCCTCATCGTCCTCTCATTCCTCCTCCTACAGAGATTCTAGGACTTCTTCTTCTGCGCATTCAAAATATGACAAAGATCCCAAATTAGACTCCTCTTATGACTCGGACCGAAAAGGAAGGCCGTCGAGCAGAACTGAAAAAGACATCAAGTCCTCGGATAGAGAATCTAGTAAAAAAGTTTCTCCTCAGAGAGAAGTTGACATGAAATCGGCATCTTCCCATTCTAAAGCCGAGAGCAGTGCAAGTTCTGCTAAATCAAATTCTTCCAAAGCATCGGATGCCAAACAAGAACATGCCGGCTCGGGAGGTAAAATTTCCAAATGGGATTTGGAGAAGAGACCTGAAGAAAAAGAGGGGCACAGCCTTGTCAGAAGAGATAAAGACCAATCTACGTCCAAGGACGGCTCCGAATACAGAAAAAGCGATCTCCAGGATTCTCCACCTGCGCGATCCAGAGATTCTGATCGTTCTCGTACGGCAGAAACTGGATCAGCAAGTGGTTGGGAATCCAAGTGGAGAGGTTTTTCTACAGCGCCATTGTTTGAAGGCCAAAGAAAAAGCCCTATTCTCGTCAACGATAGTTATTCACCTGAGCACACATGGGAATTCGTCACTCTCAGCTCCACAGACGATGTTCCTGCAGATGAGCAATCCGATGTGTCACAGTCTGAAAGCAGTAGCGGAGACGTAACTTCTAATACAGAGTTGGAGAAAACCCCTGTAGCTCACAGTGAAGGCGAACAATGCAGTGTTGTGGAGCCGGGTGATGGAACACCTCATCTGAATGGGTTAGGCCACGATCATGGCAGCTCATCAGTCTTTTCAGATCCCGATTATAAGCCTGTCTCTGTATCGAGGTCAAAAAGTTGGAGAGTCTTGGACGTCAGCATAAATGAGCCAGTTCCTTGCCATCCTTCAGACAAAATAGATATTTTCTTTGACCATAAATTGCTAAATTATGAATCAGTTCAAGAAGATGACAATCATGCTTTTATAGACTCTGAAGCCAAGCCAACTGTTACAGTTTTGGCTCCAGAAAGCCTAAATGTGTCCCGAACTATGTCTACTGACGAAGATTTTGATTCTGTGCAGGAAATCTCTAATGTGTGCACATCGGGGAGCAGTGACGAGCAAAACAACACTTGTGGTGTACCTCCCACGGAGCCTTCTGCTCCAGAAACACCTGAAAGTGATTATTATGTCATTAAGGAAGAGACCGCTGTCACCAGTAACGTTATGATTGAGTCTCCTAGCCACAGTCAGGTTTCGACTTCATTGCCAAACTTTGAAAAGGACAATGTAGATACTACTTGGAAAAATACGGAGGGAGAGGAGGACACCCCTGTCGTCCCACCAGAAGCTCCAACGGAACAGATAGAAGTTCTAAAGGCTAACTATGAGTCTGATGAGGAAGAGGATGGTTTTGAGAACTATAAGGTCCAAAGTGTTCACTCTTCAGATGAAGAGAAAAATGAAATTGCCGCCGACAGCAGCAGACCTGCAGTGAACTTTATAAGTGCCGTCAGGGCCTATTATTCCGACACAGAAGAGAGCGCAAGTGAAGAGAGTGAATCAGATGATACGGATTCTGATGACAGTGGGCTCCCCAGGAACAGGTTGCAGTCAGTTGTGGTAGTCCCCAAAACCTCCACTATAAGCATGGAAGAAGACAATCTAGAGTCTTTATCCCCAAGTCACCAAGAAAGGACAGAACAATCTTATGATAGAAATGAAATTGGATTGCCGGAAGGCCACACTCCGGAGCAAATGGAACACAGAGTCGTTGATCAAATAGATAGCAATTCCAATATGTCAATAGAGGAAGAACCGACGTGTGCTCCAGAGCCGAGCTCATTTCAGGATGCAGAAATGACTGTCATTCCGGATGAGGTTTCAGAGCAGAGACTTTTTATTTCCGTTAAAGATCTAGAACAGAGCGCCCCTCAAGTTAATGTTTCTACACCAACTACACAGTTCGTAGCTCCTGTTAAGATGCCAGAGGAGGTTACCAATCCTGCTCAGTCTTTAGAACCTTTCCAAGTGCCAGTTCCAGCTCCTCAGGCAGCTCCCATCCATATTCAAGCATCCGAGTCGGCTTCAGCCCCAGTTCAAAGAACAGAGCCAAGCTATGTTCCAACTTTGCAGGTAGATGTTATTTCGGTGAACGTGACTGAGCCAGACCCCATTCACGTTCAAGAGTCGCAATCAGAAGTTGTTTCTTTACAGGTACCAGAGACTGCAATTGTGCCGGTTATGTCCACGGAGCTAGGTCCCCGCAATACTGTAGAGGAGATTCCCATTGCTGCACAAGCCCCACAGCTGACTCCCATGGCGGATCAAGCCCCACAGCTGACACCCATGCCAGATCAAACCCCACAGCTGACTCCTGCACCAGATCAAACCCCACAATTTGCTCCCTTTCCAGTACCAGCTTCACAACCATTTGCTGTCCCATTTGAAGCACCACAACCCTATCCTTCTCCAGTTGAGGTCCTCCAACCATATCCTGTTTCATTTGATGTACAGCAACTATGTTCTGCTCCACGTGAAGCTCCTCCACGTGAAACCTTTTCCATTCAGGTGCAACATCTAGATAGTGTTTCAGTTCAGGCCCCACAGCCATGCTTGACTGCATTTCCAGGTCAAGTTCAACAGCTGGGTGCATTTACTTTTCAAGCTCCTCAGCACGGGGCATTTCCAGTTCATGTACCACCACCACCGAGTCCTGTCCCAGTTCCAATACTACCATGCCCTATTCCTGTTCATTCTCCACAGCCATGTCTTGCTCCTGTTCAGTCCTCGCAACTGGGCGTTGTTGCAGTTCATGCCCAACAACCAGACATTCCCCAACCGCCTAATGATGCTGATGTCAGCACCAGCCATTTTGTGTCCTCTGAACAGTGCAATAACGGTGAGATGTCCACTAGATGCAAAGAAGTGAATATACTTGGCCAAACCAAATCGGCTACTCATCAGCCCGCTGCTTCAGTACCTTCCAAGCCTAGTAAATTTGAATCAAAATCTCTATATACTCCTGCTGAGAAACCTGACAGCCGGCAACCATCGGCGTACAGCCATGGAACAGGGGCTGGGGACTTTTCTAGAGCTGATGGTTTCCAGGCAGCGGAAGACCTATCAGATCTTGGCTGGGACTTCTCTCAGCCAGAAAAGCCAAGCAGCACTTACCAGCCGGCAGACAGCAGTTACATGTATTGTCGGTACCAGCAGGGCAGTGGGGTCTGTGAGCCCTCACATAATTATGGTGAGAACAACCGTTATTGGGATCCTGGATGCCACAACCAAGGTCCCACCTACAACTACGTAAAAACCGGCGTTCCCGTTCCCGACTCTCTCACACATTGTTACAATGAAGATGATGACGATGTCGACGAAGAGGATATTGGTTGGGAGGACGACCAAGGCCACCACCAGGTCAATAAGCTGTACTACGACCGATCGAAGGAATCCGGGTCCGTGCAAGCTCACGAGATCAGCAGCAACTCTGCGAAAGAGAACCTGCCGCGAAACGAAAAGAAGGATCACCTGGGCAGGGACAGGTCTGAGATGAAAGAAAGGGGGCCACCCAAAAAACGGCGGCAGGAGCTGGAGTGCGACTCCGAGAACGACGCGGAAGCCCTGGAGAGGAGGAGATTGAAGGCCGAGGCTGGCTTGTTGGAATCCGCTGGCCCGAAGCCAGTAAAACCCGGATCCATCTGCCCAATGGAGGAATTCAGAGATGCTCAGCACTGGAAGGACTTTTCCAAACAAGGAAAAATGCCGCCTTATTTTGACCTCATTGAGGAGAACGTTTACCTAACTGAAAGGTAATGTGTAGAATCCTCTTATTATATTCTTTTACAATTACCTTCACTTTAATTTGCTTTGAATATTTGAAAGAACAATGTCTGTTATCAGTATCGGCTTTTTACCAAAAATAGTTAAGTTTCAAGAGATTTTCCTTCACTTCCTGTCCTGTGGATATAGCAGGAAGTGAGAGGAAAGCTTTCCACAGTGAGGTAAATTCCAACATAGAACCGGACGGGTCTCTACTTTGCACGATTTCCCTTCTATTCCTGTTGTGGCATCCGCTACAAATTTTTTATTTTTTTTCCCCACACTGTCCCAGTGGCAATGGTCCCCAAAAGAAACGGAGTAAATCTGCCCAATGGGGCCACAGACCACAGTTAAAACTTGACAGGGGATCTAACCTTCCCACTCCATGCAAAATTGTAAAATACATTTTGTTTTTAGCTATATTTAAAGCTGGAATGGTTTGCATAAGCCAGCCTGGTATTTGCCATTTCAAATTGCAATAACCTGTAGCAGGCTGGCTATTGCACCCGCCCACCACTTGCTGTGCCCTCCTCCCAGCGTGTAGGCGAGAGCTAGGGTATCCAACCAACTAATAATGATGAGAATAGTTGACCAACTATTCTCATCAATTATTGTCGATTAGTTGGTTGCTATCGATTTAGTTGGTTGCAATATTAGTTATAGTCAAAACGTCAGTGCTGGAGATAGGAGAGTAAATGATTGATGTAATTAGGAGGAGGTTATACCCCTAAGAAGAAGAAAATGCTTCTTGAAAATGGTGTCTTCTATCTACACATGCAGATCCGTGCGGCACGTGCCGATACCGCACGTTCCGCTTTCACAATATACATAGTCCGGGGGCAGGTCCACCTCAAAGGGTAACTAACAATATTATGACAACTTGTTTTAAAGAATTGTTTTATCTCTTTTTACTGAGACGCCACAAATATTCCAATTGATAAATTGATTTTAAAGGAGAACTATGAGGCGAGTGATTTTCACTCAGCCTCGTAGTTCAAGCCGACGTGTGACAATGAGACTGTCACAGGTCGGCTCAATAGATCGGGAAGTGAGTGAACAAATACCGTCGCTCGTTCACTTCTCGATCCTGTCCCTGCAGAGAGCCGTGACTGTCACTCACGGCTCCCTGCAGGGATTCCCCCTCCCCTGTCCGATCCTCCAGCGCTGACTAGCGGAACGGACGGGGGAGGGGGCGAGTATAGCTGGCTCTGCCTCTAGATAGGCAGAGCCAGCTGTCACTCACGCAGCTGGGTGGATCTCGGACAGTAATGTCGGGATCCGTCCCCGCTGCGGCGGTCTCAGTATACCGCGAGCTGTAGCCAGCCATATACTGAGCTTAGGGTGACAGGAGGACGCTAGTTTGTGTTCTCCCGTGACCCTTAGAACTATGGGGAAAAGCCCTGACCTCATAGTTCTCCTTTTTTAAATTCCCGCATTGTGATTTTCACTTTTGTATTTCTGTTTTCTGCACGCCGAGCCTTTACAGTGACTACATTCTAATAGTTATTGAAGTTGCAGTGACCTCTGTCTTGCAGGAAGAAGAATAAGTGTCACAGGGACATTAAAAGGATGCAGTGTGAGTGTCCCCTGCTCTCTAAAGAGGAAAGGTCGCAGGGGGAGGTCGCTTGCGGAGAGGATTGTCTCAATCGGCTGCTCATGATTGAATGGTAAGTACCTGTGCCTGTACTGGGGTCATTCGTGGTAAATCATTACTACACACGGCCGCCGGTGCAGATCTGGTGTCATGTGCTGGTATTGTATAAAGCTGAGTTTATGACATTTGCTGGGAAATGCTCGGGAGTGCTCGCACCTTGCACACGCTGCTTCAGCACTTCATCTGTCATGGATGTTTCTATACAGTCCTGATATGGAGCTGCACAGAAATACTGCTGGCTTTCTGGCTCTCCATTCTTCTCCCAACACTCTGCCCTCCAGAAAGTTACGGGCTGCCTTTCGGACCTGGCCACTCGCCTGGAGCAGTGCAAGTGTCTGGTACCAGGAGTCACAAAGAGGCAGCTTGCAGATAGGACTGCTGCATCCCAGGACCACCAGTCACTCCCTATAGAGTAGGGATGCACCGATACTGTTTTTTCGGTATGAGTAGCGTGTGCCCCTCAGGAAGACAAACAAAAAGGTACCTTGTCGCACTCCTTACCAGAAAAACCCAAAGTTGAATGAGGGGGGGGGGGGGGGTGCTTGTGGTGACCTGCGGATGGCGCCGCCACACAGCATAAAGATGAATAAATGTCACCAGCACACGTGTGCTGGTGACATTTATTCATCCCAATTATCAGGAAGTCGGGCCGTGGATCATGACCCGGCTTCCTGATTGCCTGGCGAAAGAACACTTGCTGAGCCTGCCTGGCTTCCTGACCAATCCAGAAGCCGGGTGGCGAGTCAGGAGGTGCCGTACGACTTCCTGATTGGTCAGGAAGCCAGGCTGCCTAGCAACAAGTGAAGCCGGGCGGCACGTCATGACCCACTTTCCGGCTTTCCTGATTGGCTAGGAAGCCGGCTTCACTTGCTGGGAGACAGCGTGGCTTCCTGACCAATGAGGAAGGAGGGAGGCGGCGGGTCATAATCCTTGCCCAGCTTCCTGATTGGAAAGGAAGCCGGCTCCATGCTCCCTCGACACTGCTGGTCAGAGGAAGATCTCTGACCGAAAGTTCCGGTATCTGAGCATTTGGGTGAGTACGAGTACTCGCCCAAATACTCGGAATCGGCACCGATACTAGTATCGGTTACAACAAAAGCAGAAAGATACCGGGGTTTGTGAGAGATATGACACCGTGGCTTGAAGTTTGATAAAACAAACTTCAAG